AAGCTGGCAGGGCTAAGTTAGGCCAACAGACAGCAAGCAACTGCATTAGTTGCCTGGGGTCAGAGTAATATATTTCCAAGGTGAAGGAAAGGCTACCTAAGGGTAAGCTGATAAACATAAATATTCTTTACAGGGGAGAGGGATGTGTAGCCACCCCCCAGCTGCTGGGAGCTTGCTGAGAATTTGTGGTGTGGACTCCCCTTCAGCCTGAGGGGGCCTACTCAGTGGCATGCCTCAGAGGTTTTGTTCTTCCCTCAAGGGTGGCCCACAGCTAATACGGACACAAGAACCTGGACCTTTGGTCTTAATTTTATGTCAATCCTGTTCTAGAGCTTCCAATGGGATCAAGTTTGAGGCTACACTTGAAGCTAAAATCACATGGATGCTAAGCTTTTACTTCTGCCCTATCCTGTTTCCTCACTTCCTTACAGGTTTTTCCTGAGAGCATTCTCTCAATAAATCACTAGATCAAGAATCTCCATCCTGGCTCCGCTTTTAAGCCACTTGGCCTAATACCTTTGCTAAGAGCAAGACAAACAGAGGCTGGTTCTTTAAGATGTACATCAAGCGTGTCAAACTCAAAGGCTAATATAGGCCAAATAAACAAGGTTTAAGTTTATGCAAGCTGCAAAAAACCCCCAAAAGCTTCAATTTTCATAGAAACGTACGTTTATTTCAATAGAGACATGCTGAATATAAAGGGCTGAAATAAATGAGTAATCCTATACAATAAAAGTCCAGGTGGTATTGCATGACACCCTTGCATGACATCACCACAAGATGGCCACTGCAACATAGTCATAAGATGGCTGCCACAAGATGGTCACCACAAGATGGCTGGCAGGGGAGGGCAGTTGTGGGTGGTCAGGCCAGAAGGTGAGGGCAGTTGGGGCAACCAGGTCAGTAGGGGTGGGCAGTTGGGGGAGACCTGGCTAGCAGGGGAGGGCAGTTGGGGTTGAACAACTCTACAGGGCAGGGCAGTTGGGGGCCATCAGGCCAGCAGGGGAGCAGTTAGGCATCAAACAGGCTGGTAGGGGAGAGGTTAGGGGGACATCAGGCTGGCAGGAAGAAGCAGTTAGGGACAATCAGGCAGGCAGGCAGGCGAGCAGTTAGGAGCCAGCAGTCCTGGATTGTGAGAGGGATGTCTGAGTGCCAGTTTATTCGGACATCCCCCAAGGGGTCCCAGATTGGAGAGGGTGCAGGCCAGGCTGAGGGAACCCCTTTCCCCCATGCATGAATTTTGTGCACCAGGCCTCTAGTCTATATAATAAAAGTCTAAGTGGCCATTACAGTGGAATGACCAGAACAACTAGTCGCTATGATGTGCACTGAACACCAGGGGGAAGACTCAGGGAGCTGCCCTCTAGTGGTCAGTGCACTCCCACAGGGGAATTGCCGCTCAGCGAGATGGCTGGCAAGCGCATCTGCCACAGTTTCTGGAGTCTCCCAATGCTGCAGCAGCAGGCACAGTGGGCCAGGATAAGTGCAAGCAGCATGTTGCCCAGCCTCAATTTGGGCTCCTCCCTGGATGCCTGCTACTTGGTGCACTGCTACATCCCAAGCAGTCCCAGACTGCGAGAGGGCACAGGCTGGGCTGAGAGACACCCGCTCCCTCCTCCCCCCCACAGTGCATGAATTTCATGTACCCAGCCTCTAGTCATTAACATAAAATAATAGAACATTTTAATAAAAATTAATATATTTTTCTTGAATATTATCAAGAAATATTCTAGAATAACTACACAAATTAATAAGCATAATGCAAATGAACTTATTTTTCTTTTTCTCCAAAAGCAAACTATTTCCTGTTGCCTACACCAAACAAGTCAATCCAAGATTAATGACATGGCAATCAGCTACTAAAATGTTTGCTGCTAGTATTAGTGGAGAGAAATGGTGCACCTGGGCATAAGGCACGTAAGGTAACTGAATGCAACATAATTACAATAATCAGTCATTAATGAAAATTGTAGTTCATTATTAATAATTATGAATAACAGGATATTATAAAAATTAAGTTACAAAATTTTTATTAAAACTTTTCCTATATACTGATATATTAGCTGGGCCGCAAAAATATTCATTGTGGGTCTCATGCAGCCTATGTGCAGGGAGTTTGAAAATGCTTGTACAGATTCTAAGGGAAGGAAGGGAAATTCATTTTACTTGAAGATCTTCAAGGAGCTAAAGGTCACTCAGGTAGGCAGCCAAGGTAGACCTAGAATGTCAGTGTCTCATAGCAATTAAACACACAGAATCTGGAACTGCACAGCCTATGTTCAGATCCTAGTCCTATCATTTACTGCTGGTCTTGAGTAAATAAACTCTCGGTTCTTGTTCATCAGTAAGTGGGAAATAACCTGAGCAGAACTAACAGAATGTCTTGTACATCTAAGGTGCTCAATATATATGAATAAACTCATACTTTTTGCACGGATCATTCTCAATCATTGGCTAACATGCCCCCATCTTCCTTTTATGTATAGTTACCACCACTCACAAGAAAGTTGGATTAGATCTCCTGGACCTTAACTCAATAGTGTTATAATTATATATTTTCAACTTTCTTGATCTGGGGACAGTCAGTTATCTCTCATCAATATCGGAAACTTACAGAAGTTGCTTGATAAGAGCTTTATGGTTTTTCATTACTGTGGTGGCATTAATGTCCACATATTCATCGATACTTTTTCCTTCAAAAGATGGGCTTAAGTCTGGGGGGAAGGGGCAGATGTGGGGTGAGGGGGTCAATGGGGAATAAAAAGGGGACATTTGTAATACATTCAACAATAAAGATAATTAAAAAAAAAAAGTGAGCTTAATTCCCCTCTCCTTGAGTGTGGGCTCAACTTAGTGATTCAGTTCTTATCAATAGAACATAATCAAAGTGAGTGATGGCATGCAGCTTCCAAGATAGGTCAAATAAAGCATTAGACTTCTTCCTCTCTTTCTCCTTTCCCCCTTCTCCTTCTCCTCCTCTTCTTTTTTTTTTTGTTTTTTGTTTTGTTTTGTTTTGTTTTGTTTTTTTGTTAGGACAACTCAGCAAAATAAAAGTCCTATTTATTGTTGGACAACTTTTTTTTCACACATACATCTCACACCTGTCAGAATGGCTACCACCAATAAATCAACAAATGACAACGCTGGTGAGGATGTGGAGATAAAGGAACCCTAGTACACTGCTGGTGACAATGCAGACTGATGCAATCATTATGTTGCATATGTATGGAGTTTCCTCAAAAAATAAAATATGGATATGCCATTTGACCCAGTGATTCCACTTCTAGGAATATATCTTTTAAAAAAAATTTTTATTGATTTTTTACAGAGAGGAAGGGAGAGGGAGAGAGCTAGAAACATTGATGAGAGAGAAACATCAACTAGCTGCCTCCTGCACACCCCCTACTGGGGATGTGCCTGCAACCAAGGTACATGCCCTTGACCGGAATCGAACCTGGGACCCTTCAGTCCACAGGCCGATGCTTTATCCACTGAGCCAAACTGGTTAGGGCTAGGAATATATCTTAAGAAACCCAAAGCCCCAATCAGAAAGAATGAATGCACCCCTATGTTCATAACAGCATAATTTACAATAGCTAAAATCTGGAAACAGCCCAAGTGCCCATCAGCAGATGAGTGGATAAAAAAGCTGTGGTACATTAATACCATGAAATACTATGCAGCAGTAAAAAAGAAGACTCTCTTATCCTTTGAGACAGCATGGACGGACCTGCAGAGTATTATGCTAAGTGAAATAAGTCAGTCAGGGAAAGATAAGTATCACATGATTGCACTCATATGTGGAATCTAAGTAACAAAATAAACTGATGAACAGAGTGGATTCAGAGATAGGGAAACATAGAACAGAATGCGGAATCTCAGTTGGGAAGGTGGGGGAGGGTGGTGGGTGGGAGGTAATCAACCAAAGACTTTGACTGCATATATGCATGGCCCATGGACACAGACAAAAGGGTGCTGAAGGCCTGAGGCAGGGAGAGGGGCAGGGATGGGGATGGAGGGGGGCAACAAGAGAAAAAAGAGGACATATGTAATACTTTCAACAATAAAGAATTATTTAAAAAACATAAAGAAGCTCAGCTGGAGTGGTTCGGTTGAGTGTCAACCGATGAATCATGAGGTCACTGTTCTTTTTTAAAACTATATATTTTATTGATTTTTTTTTTTAACAAAAAGAAAGGGAAGAGGATAGAAAGTTAGAAACACTGACCAGCTGCCTCCTGCACAACCCCTACTGGGGGATGCGCTTGAAAGCAAGGTACATGCCCTTGACCAGAATCCAACCTGGGACCCTTCAGTCCCCACGCCGATACTCTATCCACTGAGCCAAATTGGCTAGGGGAAGATAACTGTTTTGATTCCTGGTCAAGGCATAGGCCTGGGTTGAGAGCTGGATCCCTGGTGGGCGGAACTGCAGGAGGCAGCCAGTCAATGTTTCTATCTCTATCCCTTTCTCTTTCTCTCTCTAAAATTAATAAAAATGTATTTTCAAAAATTACATTAAAAAATATAAAGAAGGTTCACAGACAAAAAGAGAGACATTACTATCTAAATCAGACAGATTTCTTTTATCATACTGATTCTCCATCCTTTTTTGAAGTGAAATAGTCATAGATAAAGCCAAATCGACAGAAAGTGAGAATTGTGAATAAATGTCAGAGAGAGATGAATTGTTTGTAGTTTTGTGAACAGCGATGAAGAAGCTCAGTTATGTACCTGTTTGAATCAAAGGTATGGGAATCCACAAAGTACTTTGGAGAGTTTACTATCCTGAATATTTAGGCTATTTATTCTGAGATGTCTCCTATTAGAATCTACACCTTCATTTCCCCATGAATATTGTGTTGTATGAAAGAACAGAACACACAAATTATCTATGAATATAGCAGTAGAAAGATAAATCACACTTTCTGAAGGGGCTTTGAGATCTTTTTGCTATAAATTGTGTCACAGAGAAAGATAATTCCAAACTCAGAAACCCCCAAGTAACCATACCAGAGACACTTCGCTAGGGCAAATGCACTTTATTATTTCTGCTCAACTAGAGATTTACATAAATACAACTTCGAAGCACACTTCAGGCAATGTTTTCTGTTTTTCTTGGTAGTGGTCATCCTTTCACTACAGGCATTCATCCTCCTTACACATTCAACACGTGCTCAGTTACATGACCTGTTTGAAACCACACCTCAGAGCACGGCCTTTGAACCTAGCCACATTGCCTGTGCATGGTGTTAGGAGAAGAGAGGGAGGTGGATGATTAAAACGAATAGGTCAAAGTTACCATTCTCAATTTTGACCTGGAAGACTCAGTATGGAGAGGGATATATTCTCCCACGTTCAACTCTAAGATAATACTCTTCTAGGGTTGTGGGAGGAAGATATCTTCCTAATGGCTGGCACTTTTCTATTTGCCAGGACTTTCCAAAATACTATTTACATAAGCAGGAATAATTTCTCCAATATCATCTTGCCATAGACAAGTAATAAGAGCATATCCCGTCTTGCGAATTGTTTTATACTCACAGTATGGCATTTTAAGTCCCCCTGTGTAGTTACAGTACGCTCCTTCTATTGGTTTCTCGGTCTTGTGACATTTCTTAACTCCATTTTCACATGCTACATACTTGGTGTAACATGCCTTTTGCAACTCTTCAAATGCTATGTTAAGGAAGTGATATTCTCTGTGACAGTAAAGATTGGTGTGAATATTTTTAAATGCTATTTCATGAGTACACAAGTTATCCTCAAATGGTTCGAAAGCAGCCTCAAGGACATTCTTTTGGAAACATTTTTTGGTAGGTGGTTTGATAGGCCCTTTAGTATGTATTTCATCCATATAATCTTCAAATTCTTCTTGCCACTCTTCAGAGACCTCCTGAAGTATTACAACCTTCAACAGCAGGAGCAGCAGAGACAGGGACTTTGAGGTGAGCAGGGTGCACATATTTTCCTGTTGGAAATACCGGAGACATAGAGGTACTTTCTGCTGTGATACTGTGCTCCTTTTATCTCTGGGCAGGCTCCATTTCCACCACCTATTGTCTCTGTGAGCTCTAAGACTTTGAACCATTTTTAAATTGACAACTTGGAATCTAAGTACCTCTGAAATATTGACTAAAATCTGACCTTACAAGACCTACATTCAGTCTAGAAGACGATGGATAAGAAAGGGAAAGGTGAAGGAAGGAGGAAGAAAAATGAAGAAAGGGAAGGGGATAAAAGTCAGAAGGGAAGGAAGGAAACAAGAAAGAAATAGTAGTGATGGAAAGCAAGGGATAGACAGAGGGCAGGAAGGAAGGAAAAAGGACATCAAGACAGCAGTGGGCAGATCCGGTCAAGGCCATGTACCTTGGTTGTGGGCACATCCCCAGTAGGAGGTGTGTAGGAGGCAACTGATCGATGTTTCTCTCATCGACATTTCTAACTCTTTATTCATCTCCCTTCCTCTCTGTAAAAAAGTCAATAAAACATATTAAAAAAAAAAAAAAAAAAAAAAAAAAAAGACAGCAGTGGGCAGAGAGGAAGGCAGAAAGGAGGCTCAGGTGCTCCCTCCAGCTGGAACAAATAAATCGGTTCCCTTTTTAGGAGTTAAGAACTTGTGCTGAAAAGAGCTCTAAGTGATCTACCCTCCCCTCATTAACATCCTGCTTCATCTTGTGATGTTCTCCTCTTGCTCACCCCTGACCAGATATGCCCTTGGAGAAGGGACCAACCAGGGTCCATAGGGTCAAATGAACACCCTATGCTGAGCTTCTTCGTGTGTGTGCGCGTGCGTGCGTGCGTGCATGCGTGTGTGTGTGTGTGTGTGTGTGTGTGTGTGTGTGTGTATGTTTACTACTACCCCATGCTTGAAATGGCTCAGTCAATTTTGCAGCCTCCTCTTACAACTTGGAATAACTTTCCACTAGGTGGCATAATTTATCTTGCATTTTGTTTTTTCTTTCTCTCCTGTCTCTCCCCATCCCCCCACATATGTAGACTTCAGGAGTTTTGCTATGATCAGGTTTTTGCATTCTTAAACACTCTCCAATCTTGTGCACCTATTTGCAGTTACAGTAATCTCATCATCAGCGATGTTAACTATCACATTACTTCCCTCTCAGTGTGTTTCTATGTCTATTCATCCCACAGTAGGCTGCACCAATATTTTCCTAGTACTTTAAATATGTCTTTTGCTACACAAACGTGTAAAACTGGGTAGATGACACATTTTCTAAAATAATTGTATTACTTTAAAAAATATTTAATTTGGTATACACTGATGAAACACATTATTATGCTTCCTGATAATTATGTTAAATGCTAACATATTAAAAAAAAAAAAAAACCAAAAACAAAACACCTTTCCTTAAAAGAACCCGAGCAGAATGTGTCCCAGAGATCATACCCAGTTGCTAGACATCATAGCACAGTCTACTTTTTTAAGTCATCTCTAATAGAGAACTCATATGGTCCTAGTAATTATTTTCCCTTCCCATTCCAAATTTGACTGTTAATCATTAATTTCCCAAGGAGTCTTTCTTCCCAGAGAAAAACAAGTTCTTCAGGTATACTGAAGAGGCTTGCAAGTCTACCTTTGCCCCATGGTCTTACCTCTTTCAGTCCTTGTGTTGTCTATGCTCCAGACAATGAATGTTTCAAGGGCTGGGCTGGAGAGAGCCTGATACTGGGGATATTGACCTTTCCTAAGAATACAGGAGCTAGAAGTAGGAAAAGAGAAGAACAAGTGTGAGCAGCTGAGATAAATACATCCTTGGGGTCACCCTAAAATAAAAATAATAAACAGTAATGGTGAGCATAATGAGCTATTATTTGCCAAGTACTATGCTAAGGACTATCCACACATTATCATCATTATCATCCAAACAATCTCATGATAAAGGTATTATTTTAAAAAAATATATATTTGTTTTTATTTTATTTTTTTATTTTTTAAATATTTATTTATTTATTTATTTTTACAGAGAGGAAAGGAGAGGGAATGAGTTAGAAACATTGATGAGAGAGAAACATTGATCAGCTGCTCCCTGCACACCTCCTACCAGGGATGTGCCCGCAACCAAGGAATATGCCCTTGACTGGAATCAAACCTGGGACCTTTCAGTCCTCAGGCTGGCGCTCTATACACTGAGCCAAGCCGGTTAGGGCAAGGTATTACTTTTATATTTTTATTTTTTTAACATATTTTTTATTGATTTCAGAGAGGAAGGGAGGGGGAGAGAGAGATAGAAACATCAACGATGAGAGAGAATCATTGATTGTCTGCCTCATGCACAACTCCTGCTGGGAATCCAGCCCACAACCTGGGCATGTGCCCTGACTGTGAATTCAACTGTGGTTTAGAGGTCAATGCTCAACCACTGAGCCATGCCAGCTAGCCAGGTAAGGAATTACTTTTAGCATTGTATTTGTTTTTATTATAATTAGCATCTCTTTGTGAAGGAAAGTTGCTTAAAAATCTTATGTTAGGCCCCGCTGGTGTGTTTCAATGGTTGAGCATCGAACTATGAACCAGGAGGTCACTTTTTGATTCCCAGTGAGGACAAGTGCCTAGATTTTGGGATTGATTCCCAATAGGGGGTGTGCAAGAGGCAGCCAATGAATGAATCTCTCTCATTATTGTTGTTTCTATCTATCTCCCTCTCCCTTTCTCTCTGGAATCAATACAAATATTTTAAAAAAAATAAAAATAGAAATATATTTTTTAAAATTTTTGTTAGGTCTGGCAGAGTCCTGGTTCAAGCCCAGGTTACAAGTCTATCTTCCCACATTTCTGATCTTAACTGCTATTCTCTGTCAGTCTAGTTTCCATTCCTGAGCTAACTGCACATTCTTTTCTAGGCTGTCTTTGGACCTCTATGAATAGAGACCAACAGAAGCAGTAGCCAGTGGTACAATGTCTTTGAGCCCCTAGAAAGCTGTGATAAGCTGGCCCACACTCCATGAACCTATCTGTGCTGTTGCAGAAGGACTTTCCTGGGTTTTCTTTTCTTTTTTTTTAAATATATTTTTTATTGATTTTTTTTTTTGCCCCCCTCCTTCCCATACATACCCTCCCTCCCCAGAGTTTTATGTCCATTGGTTGTACTTATATGCATGTATACAAGTCCTTCGGTTGATCTATTATCTCCCCAAGTCTCCCTCCCCTCCCCACTGTAATTTGACAGTCTGCTTGTTGCTTTACTGTTTTCCTGGGTTTTCTTACTCCATTGTGCACTTGGTATAAGAGAAGTTCTCCCTTAAAGCAATCTGAGCGATTCTCCAGTACAGAGACCCTGACTTACATAGACATAGAGATGGAGATGGAGATGGACAGCCTCTGATTCCAGGTTAGATCAAAGACTGTCTGTAACTGAGTGGAAAGGTCAGAGAGTGGCAGAGTTAAAGAAAGGAATGTGAAAGTGGAAAGTGGAAAGAGTAGGAAAATTATTTTTCTGAAGATGGGATAGGAAAGAAAAAGATGATCTAAAAAATGGTGATGTGAGAGTGGACACTCTGGGTGTGACCATGTTCCTCCCATCCCTTCCCTCACACTCTCCTTAGTCTCCTCAGGAATCTCTTCAGAGGAGTGACTCCATTATGACAGTCCAGGGAGCTCCGTACACATTTCCACCAAGGAAAACCTGCAGCCTCTGTGACACCTTTGGTTGCAAAGTTCAAGCTCCTGTAGTCCTTATAACCTACTGAGGACACACTCCAGGGCCTGCAGGATGCTTCTCCATTTTATACCTACTCACCGTCCTTAATCCTTTATGAATTTGACTTGTGGTTTTATGCTTCTCGAAATTCTTTTTCACTCTGAAAGTATATGCATTTTTACTTACACTCTATTTTATTACCTTAATGGATTGTTAAATTTAAGTCTTTTGTCCCTCTGAAATTTATTTTAAGGTATAATGAGAGGTGATCTTTTTCCCCATATGATTTCTACACAATTCCAGTAGCAATTATTTGGGGCAATAAAATCCATTCTGTCATCCTCAACAAAAAAGTTACCTTGTACATTAATTCTATTTCAGAATGACCAATTGTGCTTTGAGAACAGATTATCTACTCAAGTGCTGATAATACGCATTCACTTATGATCATTTATAAAACACTAATATCTACTGAAGAAATTACATTCATTCTTCGTGTGCAAAAGTTTAATACAGAAATAGAACACAGAGGCATAGAGTAGGAATGGGGATTAATTAAATATATAATTAAAAATGAGAGAGAGAGAGAGAGAGAAAGAGAGAGAGAGAGAGAGAACACAGAAAGATAGTGTTGAAACATGCTCATGCCAAGTTTCTTAATTTTTTGCCTAGTAATCTCATCTAGCAGAATCACCTGGCTTACCTGGCCTCCTTGATGTTGTTTTTTCCTTAGACCTCATTAATCAAAGTCTCTGTGAATGGACCCAGAAATTTGCACTTTAAAAAAATTTACAAAGTGATTCTTAGTCCACTAAAGTCTGAGAAGCACTTTCTTAACTTTACCAGGGTAGGGCAAAAGCAGGTTTACAGTTGTTCACATGAAAAATAATATGATAATTTATAAATAATAATATAAGAATAAACTCTGTGTTTCATGTGCTCACAACTACAATATAAACCTACTTTTCCCCCCACTCTGTACATAAAAATGTGCTTTATGATAACAAAAACATCCCAAAATGGTGGAGAGAGAAGCCCTTTCCGTAAATGACTTTGGAAAAAGATTGAGATGAATTACTTTCACTGTTTGGCTTTTGTGAATAATGCTGCTTTGAATATGAGTGTACAAATATCTGTTATCAAATCCTACCTTTTTTTCTCTGCTTTTAAACTTGACTGGGAGAGTGAGAGCAGCGTAGTTTTCATAGGCTGGCAAGAGCCTGGGGAGGTTGTCTGTCCAGGGCCTCTCCTCCTAGCATGCAGGCCCTGAGTTCCCCATCAGTATTCTATATTTAATCACAATTAAAATTAAATTAAAAAGAATGAGTCATAGCACCTTAGGTAGACAAATATATACTATGTATTTCTGAGAGATTATGAACTGGTTATAAGTAAATGTTTTGTTTGTTTTGTTTTATTTGTGGTTTTTTTAGTTTATTTTTTTAAGAAAAAGCAGGATTTATAACAGATCTCATGCACTGGATCTCTAGTATATAATAATGACATAGCCTCAATCACAAAGGGAGAAACTTGCCAAAACCGGTTTGGCTCAGTGGTAGAGCCTCGGTCTGTGGACTGAGAGGTCCTGGGTTCAATTCTGGTCAAGAGCATGTACCTAGGTTACGGGCACATCCTGATCGATGATTCTCTCTCATTGATGTTTCTCTCTATTCCTCTCTCTTCCTCTCTGTAAAAAAATCAATAAAATATATATTTTTTTAAAAAAGGGGAAAAACTAAAATCGTATTTTTCAAATTGGCAATAATTGTAATACCTTACAAAGTCATTGCTGACAAGAATGTGATAAGGTAAGCAATCATGCATGTCTGATTAGAATTTAAAAATTTGGCAAAAATAATAAAAAGCTTTAAAAACAAACGTTTACCTTCAGTTTTAAATGATAGAATTTTAAGCATGGAAATATGGATGGCAATTTTTTCTTGATGGAGACAAAATTTTGAAATTTGAAAATATAAATTTCTGAAAATTATGGAAAACTTTAAATTAAATGTGATATGTTTATAGAAATGACAAAAATAGTACAATAATAATCATTGCAATAAGAACTTTTGAGATAGCATTCTATAGTCATGGAATTATACATTCTTAAAATACATTATTTTATATAATTTACAAATATATTAATGAATTGAGTTTTACAGATATGAAACATTTCTAATATTATTGAAGTAGGGCTGTCTGGTTGCAAGTGACAGAAGTACCAATCAAATTTACTTAAACACAGGAGGAACTATTTGACTCACAGAAAACAGAAGTCCAAGAGGCACAGCAGGATGAAGAAATTAAATTCTTCAACCGCACTTGTTTACTTTCTCTCTTATTCTATTCTGCTTTCTCATGCAGGGGCTCTTCATGCAACGGCAGAGAAAATCATTGTCTCCTTTATAGCCTATATTTGAGGTCACGGTGGAAAGTGTCATTCTTTTGCACTTTCATCCAAAAAAAAGAAAAAAGAAAGAAAGAAAGAAAACACACCAAACACACAAAAAAACAACTTTTCTGATAGGCCCTGTTCCTATCACATGAATAAACCCAGGCATGTGGAGTCCTCTGATTGGCTGACCTGAAGCTCATGTCTTTCTTTGAGAAGTAAAGGCAAAACCAATGAAAACCGCAGCAGAATTCCAAATGCTGACAGAAGGGTTGTTCCCTACAACACGAAAAGGGAATGGAGACCAATACAAAAGCAACAATGTCCATTATAAATGGCTACTGAAAAATCAAGACACAGAACTATATCTACAACATTATCCAATTAATGGAATGCAGAAAACATGGACGGGGAGGGGAATCAAAATAAAGACTTAGTAAACTTATTTCTGAATGTTTACTTTTGCATCTTTAAAGGTGCCTATTTACCTAATTTAAAATAAGTAACTCTAAAGCACTGTCATTTAATTTTAAAGGTCTGGTTAGTTCATGTTCTTATGTTAAGTGTCAACCTCTCAGAATGCCACATTTTGTTATCAGTGAACGTCCACTTTTATCAGCATCAGGAAGTCAGTGCCTTCATTTGAGTGGCTGAGCTCAGAGAGATTCAAAAGCTCCGTCCTTAGAATCAGAGTTACCTTGTGAGTAAATCTCATAGTAGCTCTTAGCCAAATTGTATAAGAAAAACGTAGGCACCCTTTGCTGGGTTGCTCAGTGCTTAGAGTGGTGGACCACACAATGAAGTGCCGGGGGTTTGATTCCTAATCAAGGGCATGTACTTGGGTTGTGGGTTCACGAATGCCCCCAGTCGGGTTGTGGGTGGAAGCAACCACTGGATGTATCTCTCTCCCATCGATGCTTCTCTCTCTTTTCCCCTCCTTCCCTCTCTTTATCTCTCTCTGAAAAGCAATGGAAAAAAATATCCTCAGGTGAGGATTAACAAAAATGTGTAAGCCTTAACTAGCTTTATGTATACATTTCACAAACATTTTTAGACAACATTTATGTTTCAGGTTTTCATACCCAAACCAAATTGAGAATTGTATCAGATTGAGAAAGTCTGGGGGGGAAATGTGAATCTTATGGGTCATAGGAGGATCAATGGGGTCTCTGAAATTGACATCTTTTGCTCAGTTAAAGACATTTCCCATTAGGGCCACAGTACAAACTTGATAATCAGAGTTTACAAAGGCACACAGAATAGATATATATATACAAACTACATGCTATTAATAATTAAAAATCAACCTGCAGAGAACAATGTAGAGTAATTTTGACATCTTATTTTGCAAAAATGAAGTCAAAATAGTTCTGGGATGACAGGAATCTCTTCACAATTGATTGCAATTTTCTACAAATTTATATTTTCTCTTGCCCTGTTTACTTTTTAATTGTATGGTTCTACACAATTTTTAAAAGGATTTGTTATATTGATACTTGATATTTTTCTCCTATAATGCCAGTGTGGGTTTAGAAGGTATAGACAAGCCCTGACTGGTTTGGCTCAGTGGATGAGTGTCGCCCTATGGGCCTAAGGGTCCCAGGTTTGATTCCAGTCAAGGGCATGTACCTTGGTTGTGAGCACATCTCCAGTAGGGAGTGTGCAGGAGGCAGCTGATCAATATTTCTAACTCTCTCTCCCTTTCCCTTCCTCTCTGTAAATAAAATCAATAAAATATATATTTTTATAAAAAGGTATAGACCAAGATATGGCCACTGAGTTGATTTGATTTTATAGTTAGTCTTTCCCAGAGATCTGAATAGCAGGGAGGAAAAGAGAGGGATAGATAGTTAGAAACATCGATCAGCTGCCTCCTGCACACCCCCTCTGGGGATGTGCCCACAACCAAGGTACATGCCCTTGACCAGAATTGAACCCGTGACTTTTTAGTCTGCAAACTGCTGCTCTATCTACTGAGCCAAACTAGTTTTGATGACTATTATAGATTTTGCTTAAGAAAAAAATAAATCTAGTAACAATGGGCTCTATATAAAAACAACAACACAGCTGAAACCGGTTTGGCTCAGTGGATAGAGTGTCGGCTTGGGGACTGAAGGGTCCCGGGTTCGATTCCGGTCAAGGGCATGTACCTTGGTTGCAGGCACATCCCCAGTAGGGGGTGTGCAAGAGGCAGCTGATCGATGACTCTCTCTCATCGATATTTCTAACTTGCTATCTCTCTCCCTTCCTCTCTGTACAAAATCAATAAAATGTATTTAAAAAAAACCAAAAAACAACAACACAGATTCCAGTGTTCATAAAACACACACACACACACAGAACTTAATATATTGTATATAATGAACTGGAGATTAGAGTAATATTTTTAAAATATCATTATGTATATTACAGATATATACACTGAGTGGCCATATTATTATGATCTCTGAATGCATAGTAATATGGCCACTCAGTGTAAATATATAGATATTAGAAGTCTGGTGCATGAATTTGTGCATGGGTGGGGTCCGGCCAGCCTGATCAGGGTGAGGGGACATGGATAGTTGGCCTGCCTGCCTGCTAGTTGAACTCCTGGTCGAAGGGACAATTTACATATTAGCCTTTTATAATATTACATAGGATATACACTGTATATATGTTCTAGAATATTTTTCATAAATTTGGAGGTAGTAAGGAATATCTTATTTTAAAATATTTTTAATTGACTTTAGAGAAGAAGAGATGGGAGAGAATCATTGATCGGCTACCTTCTGAACATCCCCAACTAGGGATCAAGCAACCCAGGCATGTGCCCTTGACTAGAACTGAATCCAGGACCCTTCAGCCTACAGGCTGACGTGCTATCCCCTGAGCTAAACCAGCTAGGACAAGGGATGTCTTTATTAAACAAAACAAGGGAAGAGGCATAAAAGAAATTTATTGAAAGACTAGGTTACACACACACAGACTGAATACATACTCATACACAACTACACAGAAAATGTCACCAAAAACAAATAACAACAATCTCTAATGACAAGAGATGCCAAAAATAAATTGTGAAAACCAAGAACATATTTTAAAAAATACTTGTACAACACGTGGAGTGTAAAATTCCTTTTCAAACTCAGGTACAAGGAAAGTGTGAATTTCTTTTCTAAATCCAATATATGTGCACAAAATTACAATTGTGAAGAGTAGTGATAAAATTTACCTGTTATTTACGTGTCTGCTACCTTTCTGACACAATTTTTTTTTTAAAATCACAGTATCTGAATTTGTCCTAGTAAAGCAGAAAATTCATTTCTTTGTATCTAGATGTTTCTTGGTATCATCACTGTTCCTCTTTCGGTTATAAATTGTCTTAATATTAAACAATGTTATTTTTTTCCTCATGTTTCAGAGAACTAAGAATGTTTAAATTTAACACAAAAGCCATTAGAATCCCTTTGAGATATCAAAATCCAAAAATATGACAACTTCTTGTGTTATAGAAATTAAAAAAAAACATTTTTCTTTTCCAGTACTCTACAGCAATAAAAACAAACTGTGGTTTATAACTTAACAAAGTATTCTTGTTTATTGTGAAATCCCCACTCAACCTTTGCATTCCTTAGCTTTTGCATCACTAACTACAGATGCTTATCATGGGTGATGTCTCTGTGTCCGTCCCCCCCCACCCCAACCTGCTAGAAAAGTTAAGGAGAGGTCATTTAGCTTCAAAAAATGTGTAGGGAGGCTATTAGGATGAAAATACTTTAGATTCAGTTTTAAAATGAGAGAGAAAAAAGGACTAATATCATCTTCCAGTCAACAAGGAGTGAACATAGGTCTGTTTGAGCCTCCCACCCAAAATAAGAAGGGAAAAACCGGACAAAATGCTAGAAAAATTATTTCAAGATACAGAACATCAGGCAACAAAACACACTGATCCTTGAGAGACACGAAATAAACAAGCTCACCCCTACAATTCCCTCAGCTTAGCATCTTGAGAGAGATTTCAGGCAAAAGTGAAAGGAGGGCAAATTTAGGAAGAGCCTGAAAACTACCTTCGTTGAGGAGATGAAATGGAGGAACTGAAGAGGCCAAGGCCACTTGAATCCATAGGGAAAAAGAGACGGCTGCCTTCAGACAGAAACCTGGAGACTTGCACAGGGTTCCTGGCAAGTTTTCAGTAAAGGACCGTTTATCACCTGAGGCTGAGGAGAAACCTTCTGAAAGGATCAGAAGGAACAGTGCCTACTCCCTCTAGCCAGAATGAAAAAAATAAATAAACATTTATGGGGTATGAGGTAGAGTACTCAGGAAGGTCTTGCCTCAGTAGCGGGGGATAATTAGCCCTAGACTGTTCCTGCTCTGAACCTGCCTAAGGCTCCAGGTGATTCCAAACCTTGCCTGTATACCAGAAAAAAGTTCAAGAAGATTTACTAGAATACAACAATAACCATATTGTTGTAAACTAACGAGGCAGCCTTCTCAATGTTTGCCATCCAATCAAAGGCTACTAAGCATAAAAGGAAGCGGGAAAACAAAGCATAATGAGGAGAATAATCAATTAATTGAAATTGACCAGGAAAAAAAGTTGGCTCAGAACAGGAGTAAATACATTGATACCACTGTTGTAACTAAATTCTTTATGTGCAAAAATTTAAGTAGATTGATGGACGATAAAAAATAAAATAAATTAAAAATTGAAAGACAAAGACTGCAATGTATAAGATGAAAAATGCACTGAATGGGATTAATTTCAGGTAAGACATTGTGGAAGAAAGATTTGTGAATAGAAAGCAATAGGAATGAAACTCACAAAAAGAAAACAAATGTTAAAAGAGCATCAGTAAGTTGTAGAATGAATTCAAGTGACCTTACGTAGATAATTTTAGTACCTAAAGCAGAGAAGCAGGGGGGTGGGAAAAAAATGAGATGAAATAATGACCAAAAACTTCAAAATTTGATGAAAAGTATAAATTCACAAATTATAT